AATTCTGTATAGACACCCTGTACATTGCTACATTCTCTTTCAATTTGTGGATTTTATTTTGCCGCTGTATATTTACCCTCTGGGCGCAGTTTGTAAAATTCTTCCATTTTCTGAGGGGGAAAAAGGGTATATATAGAGTTATATAGTTAGTTTGCAATTTCATTTTTTTTCCCGGTGGGAAATGTTGTGATTTGTTTTTAGTATGTTATAAGGACCTTCGGTATTTTAATTAATACCAGTTTAGTTACGACCATCGGTCGATATGAACGGAAGTTAAGTTGTCCTTTTTAACGTTCTTAATTCAACTACTTCCTTTTAACGTTTTAACATTCAAGCTTATGTACATACCGTGTACATATATACATATAGAATTAGAATAGTTTATTAACGTCACTCCTGGAAGCACTTGTACCCATTTTTCAAAGAGCAGGAGGATTTTTTGCCGGCTTTTTTTTCAATGTGGTTATTAAAACCTCGGTTTGTTTAGGACGGTATTAAAAAACTTTCAATTGAGCTTTATTTTTGGTTTTAATAAAAACAGTTGTCTCTCCACAGTTGTTATGCTGGTAATTTTTGATCGGTGAATGTTTGTCACTTAAGAATTGTTGAGCTCTCATTGTTGTGTTTTTTTGTTTTAGTTTTTTAAATACTAAATTTGAATTCAAATTCCTAAACAAAAACTTTCCTAGTGATTAAATAAACAATTAATGAGCAAAAAATATTAATCTTTGCGGTAAAATTTTATAGTTCTGGTATCTTCCGTACCATCTGGCAGAAAATAATGGACCTTCTAAATATGATCGCAAGAATGGACCTTCTAAATATGATCGCAAGTGTGAAAAGTGAATAATATGCTGTAAAACCTTTTGTAGTATTTAAATGTTCTGCGTATCTGAAATTTGGTATATTTAGTATATTTTAATCCAAAAGTTGAAAAAAAGTTCTCGCAATTAATTCTAAAATATGCTAAAAAGGTTCCAAACACAAGAAGCACTGGAATTTTTTTTGAAATTTAAATTGGAGTTTCAAACCCTTCTTCTGATTTAAGTTTTGATATTCTAGATCATTTGCTTATTTAGCGAAACCAGACTGCTCCTTTATGAAGGCCCAGACTTGACTGTTCTGACTTACCTATAATTGGTTAACTGGTCTCGACAAATTTTTTGTAAATTTTTTGATAAAATCAATTTTTAGACTGTCAATATGAAATTTAAAGTATTAAAAATAGAGTAAAATAAGGAATTGATCATTAGCTTACCTGACTTCAACTCAGAATATTTTTGGGCGCGGAACAATTTTGCGTACTCGTGTTACGTTTTCAGCGTCTTAGATAAAATCTTCAAATTTTTCAGCGATCTTTTTACGGAGACTCGAAGCGCAATCAAAGTAATGTGTAGCACACCCGCTAATAAACACATACATTTCAATTCCATCGTTAATCTAATTTTTGTTTTCAGAAGTTGACTGGAATTAAACAACCCCAAACAAATATTTCTTACTTGCTGCAAAAGTCGAAAAAATTAAGAGAATGGATGTAACACCCATCAGAAAAACTGCCATATAAAAAGTGCCACAAAAACAGCTGAATTATGCCTTTAGCAATTAAAACTAGTTTTTCTAGTTTTTTTTAGCTGCCTTTTGGGAACCAGAAACTTCAAAAATTTTCAGCAAAAAATTTAATTTTTTTTCTAGTCATTTTTCAACATAAAATCGTTGTCCAGTTTGACTAAATTACAATGACTGTCTAATATGCTTGAATTATATTTTTACGTCAGATCCTTTTATCACGCTAAGCAGAAAAAAACTACACTAATTTGGAAAAAAAAGTTTCTAAGCCTTAGTTTTTCTAAAGACTATGGTCGAAGCATTCTGTGCTACTTGCACAGTAACCGGCTATCCTTGTTTTCTTTTGTTTTTTTTATCGTTCCGCAAATTTTTTATACGTGATTAGAACTTTTTTCTCAGGAATCCAGGAACATAAGAACAAAAAATTATGCGCCTATCCAGTGCCAAGTTTGGCCTCGTAATGGTATGCTAGTTTCTTGAGATTATTTTTTTCTTATTTTTTTTTTCACTGAAAAATGTATCAATGGCTTTATAACCAAAAAAACTGCTCTGAAATTTGCAAGATTTTGAGTAGTTTTATTGTTGCTCTAAATTTAATTTCGTAACTCCATAAAAAATCTATTTGAAGACTTTGAATCGTTTTTTCAAAGTACACAACTTTTTTGAACGTTTTAAAAAGAGAATTTAGCGTTCAGTGTCACTTATAATCAAAACTTTTGAGTATAAATATTTGAATTCTCTGGTGATGATTTGATTTTCTTCAAAATTAAATTTATGCTTTCAAATAAAAATCTGTGTCGTCAGTTTATTGTTCACGAATTAAGTTAGTTGCTAGGAACCAGGTTCAAATTTGTTTTTGAATTTCTGATTTGCTTTGAGTTATGAATTGAGACAAGACGGCTCTGGTGATATTAGAAAACTTTGCTACTCGTAATAAAGCTTTTTTAAAACCAGAATATTCATGCTCGTAATTTCTAAAGACTTCTGAATTTCAAGTTTCCATTTTATTTGAAGTTTCGTTCTCAGAAAATGGTTGACATTTTTGCAGTTTCGAAGAAATTGAACACAAATTTAAGATTTTGTTTCCTAAAACCTTTGGATAAGTTTCAAAAAAGATTGTTTGTAACAAAGAGAGAAAGGGAATAGTTTGGTCTCAATTTCAATTCATGTATTCTTTTGCGTTCATTTTCGCAGATTATTTAGCGAATTTTGATTTTGACGATTTGACATGCAAGCTAGTGTAGTTTTTTGATGTTTACAAATCAAACAATGGAAACAATAAATTCCAATAATTAGTTTCCGTTTTCGTTGACTTTTTTAATCTCTCATGGCAAGTTTTCTTTGAAGGACGTTGTTGTCAATTGAATTTGCAGATTTAAGAAACAATTTGCCAGTAGTAATTGATTTTATTGTTCAACTTTCAAAAAATTGAAGAATCTCTAGGCGTGTTGTGATTTCATTATTAAAACTATAATCTGGTGCAAAAATTCAGAGTGAGGATCGAACCTAGAATTTAATTGTTTACAAATTTGTGCGCTACACATTTTTCTAGACGCTCTTTAACTGTTCATTTTTTACTTAGCAGATTTCATTTGAGACTATACACACACTTTTTTGAATTGAGATCAGGAAAACCAATATCAGGAAACCATTTTTCCATGTTTTTTTTGTATAAACCTCAATATTTAACATTTAATATGTGGCATTGATTTTGACAGCACTCCTTTTATCATTTGTCAAAAACCATCAATAAAAACTTTCGGAGAACAATAACAGAGCAGTAGAAACATTCAAGGCTTTGCCCATTACGAGGTCAAACTGTGCAATCGCCAAACTGTGCTCTGGATAGGCGCACATTTTGGTGCGTGTATATCCTTGGAACCCAGAAACAAGTCTATTAACATGTTGAAATTCTGTCGGAACGATCAAAAGAAACACATGTTTGAAAAAAAGTTGATTAGAGCGTTCTTGTCGCGAAATTCATCTACAATTCACAAAGTACAAAGTTTGGTCTCGTAATGCTTGATATACGTGCAGTTTTTGTCGATATAACCAATAAAATCAATCCGCATTGGTTTTGTGAGTATTAATAATTACATGATTTTTTCATTAAGGTAAGGTTTTTTTTCGTGTGCTTTAAAAACGTACGCTATCTCTTATTATGGTTTCAAAATTAAACAAAGGTTTGCAGAAACTAGTAGGATTACGTCGCCTTTCCTGAATTTTGATTTCTGATTTATCTGTCAAATTTAGAGCATTAACTGTGTTCTTTAACAAATACCAGATATCATCAGAGCAATAACTAGTTAACAATTTCTCAAAAAATAAAAAAACTCCGATTAAAATGGTTAGTTGAAAGTCGAAAATATTCTGGAGAAAAAAAACTGAGCACAAATATTCGGTCACTTTCTTCGAAATAATTAAAAATTAATAATTTAATTAATAATAAATAATTGTAGTTCCTGCGAATCGCAGAGGAGCTATCAGTAGGCCTTAACAGTCCTGTCGAGGATAGTCCATTTGTATTATCTCCCCACATTCCAGACAGTGTTATTTTGCTAGCGAAGCTGTTTCCTGCGACTCAAGGCCGTTTTTTTTCGTCTAGAACTTTTTACGTGGTACCACTATTGCAGCCAAATTTGGTCAGGTTGTGGTAGACCTAAAGCTGGAGGTCAAGTGAGAGCGTGTCCTCACACACTATCATTGCCATGGAATGGGATCGAATACACGATCTGACGATTTCAAAGTGAACGCCTTACCATTGTGCTAAGTGCCTCCTATCCGTGACAATAACTAGTGCTGTCTCCAATTTTCGTAGTCAAATGTTCAAGGTAGTGGAAATAAATTTGACAGAATAAAATTCATTTTTGGCGTTGATTTTGCACCGGTTGATTCAAAGAAAACTCGTCAAATCTTTTTTGAAAATGGGATGAAAAAATGCCGAGGTAAAAGCAAGCTAATAAAAAATATATTGATAAATCAATGAGTTTCAGAACAATTCGAGGGAAAAATGAGGATAAATAGCAAAGTGGTTGAATTATCCGTCTATTAAGCAAAAGTCGGTGGTTCGACGCGCGCCATAACCGTGCTACTTGCCTGAACGCAATGCAACAGGTTTCAGCCCAGAACATAACCAAAAAATTGTTTTTTTTTGCTCTGCAAAGGCACAACAGCGGTTCTCCACTGACCTCTGTCGGTTTTTATAGGTCGACTTAATTGATATTCCGAGCGCTCTCAGAACCTATTGAAGACTCTATATAGACAAAATTTTCTGCGCCGCTGGTAAATTTTTGTGTATTTTGGCACCGAAGGTATTAACTCAATAATTTTTTCCTCTACCAAGGCTGAATTTGAACGCTTCGAATTCTTGTTTTGGTAAAATTATAGACTCTAAATATGATAAAAATCGAATGAAGATGACATCGAATACACATAAGATAAGCTAATCGGGTAACGTCTTAAAGACATCAAATTAAATGGTATTTCATTTGCATAAATCTGAATTTGTTTAAGAATCAGTTCAATGACAAATAAAACTTCGCAACTCAGTTTTTTAAACTTCAGGTGAAAGTTTGCAGCAGAAGCAAGCGCCGGCTGTGCATCCACATCCATCCGAACACTGGTCGGAAGTTGAGCAGGTGTCTTTAACAGAACACATGTATTTCATAAGCCCGAGCATTTGACTGACCTGTTGATACATGTCGTGTTCCATCAAGCTCTGCTCGTGCGCTTTGTTCATGTAATGCTCGAACTCGTGTCCGAACGTCTCGTATTTGTCAAGAGCCGAATCCATCTCGGATTTGACCTCTTTCGTCAATTTTTCAAACTCTTTTTCAACTTTTCCCTCAAAATTATCCGTGTCTATCAGTTTCTCATACGTGCCGTCGCTCTCGACATAATGTTCAATTATAGAATTTTTTAGCTCATTTTTGAGAGTTTCTTCCACATTTTTGAATTTCTCGTCGACGTAATGGTTGAACTCTTTTTTCACGTATCGCTGCAAAGCGCCACGGTGCTCATTTTTGCGTTCGTCGGCGTAATTGTTCAGATATTCGACCTCGATTTTAATTCGAATGTCACCCGAAGGCTTTTCTTCGTTCATACTGCGGCGCAAGTCCAAACTGCTTTCACCCAAACCCGAAAACTCTGTCTCGTCTTCTAAACCATAATCGTCGGCTAATTGATCCCTTTCGTCTACTTGGTCGAAGTAGTACTCAGAATCGTAATAGTCGATAATCTGGTCGTCGTAATTTGGCTCATATTCGTCTTCTAGAGCATCATCCAGTTTTTCAACCAGCTGATTCACAAATTCTTCAGACATTTCATCATCAATTGGTTCATACAGATCATTGTCATCCTTAGCCGAAAAGTCATTTCCGTTCTGATAGTTTACGTTCGAGTTATCGGACTCCACGATTTGTCTTTCGGCTTCGAGAGATTCTTCTGACTGAACATCTGCCTGTTCACTTATGATCTCTTTCATTTGTTGCATCGAAATCTTCTCAAATTCGGGGGGAACAGATTCTCCTTCGGTTTGAACTTCTTTTTCTTCGGTTGTTTCAATTGTGTCGTCTTCATCGTTTGGTTCATAAAAGATGTCTTTTTTGTCATAAATTTCACTATCATTATCTTCGTCGTTTTTTTGGTCGTATTCTTTTTCGTCTTCATCTTCATGGTTTCGTCCTAAAAACAGATGTTATTTCAGAAAAAAAATATGTAAAACATTATATAAACCAAATGAAAGTGAAAACGCTTTTTTTAAGCAAAAAAAAAATATTTTTGCTCTTTGAAATTCGGTTTTGATTAATATTACTATTTTATCCTGCTCTGCGAATAAATATTAAATTTTAACAGCGCCTGACAGTAGAAAAATGGGTTAACCAGTAGAAAAATGGGTTAAATGGGCTAACCTTCTTCAGTTTCTCCCAAACCACCAACATTGGTCGTATAATCCTCGTTGTAATCTTCTAGCATTTCTTGGAAATCTTTCTGCAACTTCTGGTAAAAATCCCACAAATCTTCCTCATCGGTAGAGTCTAAGTAATTGCCCAGATTACCATAACCTTGGTAGTCGTCATCATCCATCAAATCCGATTCGTCGAATTCTTGTACAGCTTCAATCGTGTGACCTTGAAACGTGTTCACACGCTCACTTTCATCACTTCGCTCGACAAGTTGTTCATTTTTGTTCACATTTTGCTCATTTTCAGCCAGCGATTGCTCAGTTTCTGTCGAAACTTGGTCCAAATCAACTTTGGGTTCTTCTTTTTCGTTTATAATTTCGTCTTCTTTTTTGCTGCCAGGATGTTGTTGGTCCAAATGGCTCTCAGTTACCATATTATAATCCTCATAATCCCCATAATCCTCAAAACTATAGTCAAAACTATGGTCAAAACTATGGTCAAAACTATGGTCCAACTTCATTCCAAAATCATCAATGTTGTAATCGTCCATTGAGAACTTGTAATCCAGTCCATCTTCTGAATCCCCAGTGATAACTTGGCTGTAATCGCTGTTATAGTCACCGTAATAGTCATTGAATCCATCCGAGGTATAGTAGTAGTTATAGTCATCACTGTCGGAATAGTCGCTGCTCAAGTACTCGCTATTCAGATCATAGTCGGATGATAGTTCTTCATAGTCATCGATTGAAGGTTGGCTTCCAATTAGAGAACTGAGTTCCTCGCCAGCCAGGAAGTTCAGGTCTAAGAAGTCTACTTGAGACAGCCGGCGTCGTTCGGAGCTTAAAAAAGGAACTCTTTTTGTTGGTCAGCTTAAAAATATTCCAAGTTATTGTAATAAGATACCGATGACAATTGTTAGCAAAAGTTCAAACGAATTGAAGGCAAGATTTCAGATTATTTCAATGAATGCCCAAAAGTTACACTTCAAGTTGAACTGAATACAAATTATGAATTTATTTTTGGTGAGTGTTTCCAAGTACACACCTTTTTAAAAGGTCAAAGTTGATGAAACACAATTAATATTCGAAAGTAAGGCGTTGCAAGTTAAATTTACCGACTTCTTAATTCTTTATGGCATTTTTTGAATGAACTTTTTGCAAAATGAAATAATGCAACCAGTTTTTGACTTTTGAGTCCAAAAATTTTCTACACAACTTAATCTGGTGGAACAACAAGGTATAAAAAGGGGAAAAAGAGAAAAAATGTTTCGCATTTAAGGAAGCAGAGATGAATGGGCTATAAGTCTCGCCTTTAAAACAAAAAATCAGTGGTCCGAGTCTCATCATAATCCATGTTGGTTGTTCGAGGGCGAGGCAACATTATCCAGCCCAGAAGAAACGCATATATATCTTTGAGCCAAAATTACAAAAGCAGATCTCCGGAAAAAGCGGCGGTACAGCTCGTATGCTGGACCTTTTCCTTTTGGAAAATTAAATCCTCTTAATTTCAAAGGACTTGTGTCACTTTTGACCTGGCCATAGCAGTTATAATAACTAATAGAGCAGAAAAGCAATATTTGGGGGCGTTCAACAGTGCCGAAGTACAACAGTGCCGAAGTACAACAGTGCCGAAAATGAAAAAGTGTTCAACAGTGCCGAAAATTGATGATTTTCGGCAGAAAAACAATAATTGGGGCGTTCAACAGTGCCGAAGTACAACAGTGCCGAAAATGAAAAAGTGTTCAACAGTGCCGGAAATTGATAATTTTCGGCACTGTTGAACGATAAATTTATTTTCCGCACTCTTGTACTTCGGCACTGTGGTACTGCTCCTAATCATTTCATAGAAGTTATTTGTTAATGGATGTGAATTGAAATCGTTTAAATTAGCATTAAAATAGTTAACCTTTCAGGTGCAGCAGTGGCGACTTTAACTTCTTCTATTTTCTTGTCCTTGATCTCTTTTACATGCCATTTCTTCACAGCTTCCTCCTTGGACACGTGATCAAATTCGTCATCGCGCTTCTTTGATTTGTCCTTTCCTTTTCTGGCGTCGAGAAAATGAGCAAAAGAAATTAAAATCAACAGGGACACGGAAAACAAAGAAGTTCTCATGTCTCTATTATATCAGAAAAAAATATATTTCAATTTTGATCCAAAATTAGGAGCAATTTCGGCCTTTTGATTGCTAAATAAGTTTATAAACAAATGCCAGAAATATGAGGCCACAATTTATTTTGCCTTCACAATTTGGAAAGACAAATTTTGTTTGATCCATAATATTTGCAATTGTCATTTTTATGAAAATTGTAAATATGAATAGAAACAGGTGTGACCAAGTTCAAAATCTGAATGTCATGTGATTTTGGATTCTTACTTTACAGTCAGAACCTTACAAATGATCTTCTTGGACCACAGAAGCAAACATCACTTAGAATTTCAGTAGAGCTACAAGAATCTATTTGTGACATTTTCGAAACCAAAATCGACGATAGTTCTGAACAAGACTGGTCGGTTATCAGGGCGAACCCCTGGATGTTCCGACTACCCCTTAATCGGAACAGATTTTTTTTTTGTTAGGAAAAAATAAATAACCATAAATTTTTAATAATATCAAACATCAAGAGTGAAAATTTGGCGTACGAAATTAATACGACCATTTGGCTTGCCTCAAAATAATTGGAACAATATTGTGGTGCGGGATAACTCACCCCGCATAAACATTTTGCATTACGATTATAGCATGATAAAAAAACTCTTCACAATAAGCATAAAATGATGCAAAATAGCCCCAAAAACTATACAAAAAATAATTGTGTCGATTATAGTATCGTTTTACATTTTAACTCAAGGAGAATTTTCTTGTCAATAACTATAAATTCGATTGATAGTTTTAATTAATTTGTAATGAACTATTTTGACGCTATTTTATGTCATTTAAAAGAAACTGATGTCCTGAGCTAAAAACTAAAAATATAGTTTAATTGTGATAACTTTTGAACAATTATGTAGGTTTGAAAAAATATCAGTTGGTCAATTTGGGATAATTAACCAGCAATATACGTCGTGTTATTAAAACGTAAGCATCGAAATAAATCGTTTCAAACTGATTTAAAGCTAGAAGCTTGCTTTTATTGAAACAATACCAAACTCAAAATATTTCATTTCGAACTTTTTATTGCGTGAGAGATGAAGAAAAACTATAATTTATGAAAAAACAAAATATTTGAATTTTTTTTCCAATTATTTCATCAATTTTTGACAATGTTTTTAATTGAACCTAAGCGGCAAAAATACTGATTAGAAAGACTGGTCAAGCCCTACATGTACAACTGCACCATAAGGCCAATTAAATAGTTTTTGGTTACAAAATCATAAGCTAATCGATTTTTGACTTCACATTTTTTCTTCACTTTGTCAAATACGTAAGAAAAAAACAAAGGAGAAATTTTGCGTATCATATTCTAATTGTTTATATTAAATTGCGTTAATTCAATTTGGAACGATTTGATCAGTGTTGTAAGAAAACACTATCGCGTGTTAATTATTCGAAATTGGTGAAATTAGCTATTTTCAAACCCCCATAATTTAACGAAAAGTAGATAATTGTAAAAACTATTTGCATTCTAGCTCAGGGCAACATGGTTACTCAAATGATATGAAAAATAAATTAAGAAAAAGAATGTATCTTCAATAACAGCACTGAAGAGTAACAACTGTTGTAGAGTGTTCGCTGAACTTCATCATTTTTCAAAAGCGTTTCCAATCTGCTTTCTCTCGTATTTTTTCCAATATTTTAATGTTTAGCGTCAAGAAAATGTAACAAGAGAAGATTAGCTGGTTGCTATTTTCAAATTTTTTTAACCAATTTTGGTTATTTTTGTCTGCCTGTGAAGGACAGAAAACAGGCCTGGAACAAATTCTAATAATTTATCATCGTTCAAAACTATAATTTTTGAGTTTTTCTATTCTTAAAGTCATTTCATATTATGTCAGACACTTCAGTCTTTGCTCCAAAAAGACAAATTTCGAAATCTTTTGAAAAACCCAATGTTTCTCTGATTTCAATTTGATAAATCAGTCGAACCCATCTGAAAGTTATTAAACGTGGCTGATCACGCATTAATATAAGTAAGAAACATGTAAAACACATCCTAATAAAAAAACTATTTTCCATTACGTGGTCGAAACAATGAATAAAGTTACCAACAATTTACTAATAATATTTACTTGCCAGTAAAGCGAAAACAGTTCAATCAAACTCAAACTCAGTTTCAAAAGTTCAGTTCAATTAAATTCGGTTTCAGTTCAACTTGAGCGTCAAACAAAACTTAAAAAATAACAAGCTATAATTTCAACCCAACAGTGAAAAATTTTGATTTTTTTAACAGCCCTTAAAGTTTTTAAAGTCATTTTTGGCAAATACTTGTACATTTTTTGGATCAATATTGAAGAATAAAAATTTTAAAGATATTAAAGATTAAGGAATAAATCTATTAGAGATATTTGTAACTTTCAAATCTTATATCTTTATAAGAACTACCGTATGCATTTTTTTTTTTCAATTTTGAGCTCAGAAAATTGTTTTCATCTGATACTAAACAATCCTTCAGCTGATGTTTATCAAACCATTAGAGTTGTTTGCAAGAACAAAGATAACTCGCGAATCTATTTCGTTAATTTTTGAATATTTGTACAAGATACTTCTAAAAAGACGGGAACTTGACCTTTTGACGTTTTAAGTTCAGAAGTTATGCTGTTCGTTCAAGTTTATTGCATTTCTTTTCAACCGATGAAAAGAAAAAAGCTTCTCGGCGTTTTTGTTGTTTTTTGTTCAATTACCTAGAGAAAAGGTTCCAACTGTATTGTTATGAAATTTTAACCCTCCTTTTTCAAAGCAAAAACTTGTAGATCCAACCCTGATGGACTCCATTTACTACTTTTATACGTTAAATGAAAGCATAGTTGAGACAACATGATTAAAAAAATATGATTCCAATTGGAGAAAGGAATAAAATGACTTTTAGATTTATTCAAACTTTTTGAACAATTCAAACAATTCAAACCTAAGCCGATGGGGCATTGAGTTCTTTTAGCTTCTGTTTTTTAATTTTTTGTCGTTCCAACTTCCAAAAAAAGTGCGGATTATTTATGCTTGGATTTTTTATTCAATCAAATTTGGACTTTTCAATTAAGCATTTGACAAAAATTTTAAAACTATTGGGCAGATATTGTTGTCTTGAGCTAAACTATGAAGACATTTTACGTGTAATTTTTTTGTACTGTTACGAGGGTTTGAAAACTTTTAATTTGACCATTTTGGGATAATCAACGCGAGTCGTGTGCGTTCTCATAAAAACGCGTAAGCGGCAAAATAATACGTGCAAAATCGGTTAAATGCCAGCAATTTAGTCGTAGTAAAACACACCTTTTGTATTTTGTAGCATCTGGAGATAAAATTACAAAGGCAAAGTTTTTCAGTTTTTTTCAAGTATTTCGTCAAAAAATTAAACAAATTTTTTTTACCTGAAAGTTTTTTATTGGAGCTTTCAGGGCTTTGCTTCAAAATACAAGCAGTCTTGTTTAGTTAAATGGTTATTTTTTTATGTTGCGCAAAATTTCATCAAATTTGAATAAAAATAAACATTATGCCCATCTGGTCCCTGAAATAGTTCTTTTCTCGGCTGATTTGATTTTAAGTGCTGTGAATGCATCATCCATTTTGCTCTGAAATACAAAGTTACCTGCTAAAGAATTAGTTTTTCCACATTTTACCACTTCAGCGTTTGTTGTCGGGCTAAACTTAATGACATGGTTACAATAACATGCGTTTTTTTGCTAGGCTATAGTCCAGTTGTGTCTTTCCAATGCATTTGTTTGACACGTATTGAAAGCGCACCAAAAAACCCTATACTTCTTCATTCTGAGTAAACAAGCAGTCAGTCGTGTTTAGATTTTATTTTTTTGATAGTACATTGTAGAATAATATCTTTTTGATTATAAAAATTCTTTTTGTGTGATCAAATATTTTTTTCTTACAGGGTGCTTACGAGAAACTGTCTCAAAAAGAAATCAATATTTTGTTTATTTTTTTAAATCAATTTTTTTTAGTATTTTTTCAAGATATTTTTATACAGGTGTGAAACTGATCTTTTGACTGTCTGCGTGTAGAAATCATGTTGTTTGGTGGAATTTATTGCGTTTTTAAACATTATATAGTTTCGTTTTTAATTACCTAAAATATACGTTCTAATTGTATCGTTTTGATACTTTGCCCCTCCTTTTTTCAAAAAGTTTTTGGTTAATTTTGTTTAATTTACGACCAAATTTGGAAAAAAAACAAACATTGGGTTTAACTGGTCCCCGTATTATGGCTGAAATGGTTCTTTTTTCGGCTTAATTGTTTTTGGTGTGAATGCACCATCCATTTTGTTCTGAAGGAAAAATTACATGATTATAAAAATCATTTAAGATTTCACAACTTCAGCAAGGGTTGTAGAGCTAAATTCAATGAGATGAAATTTATTCAAGATTTCACAACTTCAGCAAGGGTTGTAGAGCTAAATTCAATGAGATGAAATTTATTCAAGATTTCACAACTTCAGCGAGTGTTGTAGAGCTAAATTCAATGAAATGGTTTCAATAACATGCGTTTTTTGCTAGGCTTTTGTGGAGTTGTCTTTTTCCAATGAGTTTTTATTGACTGTGGCACAGAGTTGATAGGGGAACAAAAAACTCATATATTTTTTTAGCAAAGAAAATGCCGGCCGCGTTTGGCTTTGAGATTTGTGATAAAAAAATCTCAGAATGAAATCGTTTTGATCGATTCAAAAATTAATTCAAGTAGAGTGCACAGATGTAAATTTTTGTTTTTGTTCCTACAGTGAGTCCAAAGAATCCAAGTAAATATTCAAACCAAACAGATTACTTTTCTCTTACGTTCTTTTTTGAAACTTTTTTAGCCAGTTGTGTCTTCTGACATATGATTGAAAATTGGAAAACTGGAGTTTTGAAAATCGGATAACAAAACAAAATATTGTTTTTTTAATCATCAATCATTTAAAAATCCTATGCAAAATAACAAAACAAAGCTATATATTGAGTGGCCATTTGATCTTTAAAATTTTTGTTTTTTATTTTGCTAATTTAGTAATCACCCGTTTCTAAACCTCTGTGTGACATCTCTCTGATTTGAAAGTTTTCCTCTGTTCTATAATAATTGTTTGATCCTTAATTCTACTTTGAGTCAAAAATTTAGGACATCGGTCAAACGATTAGTTCAATTTTTTTCACAAAAACAGTTTGAATTACTGTAGAAAAAATGAATGACGACAATTCTATGCAACATAACTGCTCCTTTTCAAATTTGTTTTGCCAGAAACTTTAATCTATCTTAATTTAGTTTTTATGCCAATTTATATGGTGGCAATTTGTTCTTTCATTTTTCCAAAAAAGGCAATTCGCTCATATAACTCCCTGCGGCATCTAATTTAGCATTTAGCGTTTTTAGTTTTTTCAAGGACAAAAACAGAATTCAGCAAGCTCAAGTGTGCGACAAAATTGTTATCAATACGTTTCTGGACAGTTTTTTGACAAATAGAAAGATAAAATAACAGTATACTGCTTACTAATTATTGATGTTTGATGGTTCTAACTGTTTTTAGTCCCTTCTCCTGGTTTTTCTTGCAGCATTTGTTTCATTCTAGAAATTCAATAAAACCGTTTTCTGTAACGACTTGCTCCTCTGAAAATAAAAAAAAACTGCTGAACTCCAGCATCTCTGAATTATCAACAGACCAGTAGGGATTCACTACAAGTCAATAAAAATGGTTTTAAATTTTTTCAAGAGTTCTAATGTGCAACCTGGCGCTCCAAACGTCTCTTATGAAAATTGTTAAAACAAATCTTAAGCATCAAAAATTATAAGAAGAACGAACCCCAGAAAAACACAAACACCAAAAGGAACATTGAAAAGGAAAGTGTCTTTCAATTACTACTTCCTTGGCAACAAAAAAGAAAAAATTTGAGCAAAAAAAATTGTTTTTTACAATTTGAATTTTTTTTCATTTTCTTTTTGAAAAATGTAAAACGTTGTCGGGTACGCCCAAAAAAAACGAAACTATTTCTTAGAAAATTTTTCTAATGAAATTGATAAAAGAAAAAGAAAAAATATTATTTTGATGAAATTGTTTGAGGCATTTTTTTAAAATATGGTCAAAACATTATGGGCATCTTGTTCTTGCACAGCAAACATCGAACCTTGTTGCTCCGACCATTTGAAAATGTGGAAAAACTTTGTTATTGGGTGTGGTTTAGTTTTTTCCCACGCAAAATCAGGTACCACAAATAATCATCGGAATGCGTCGAGCGATATTTCATATTATTAAAGCCTTGCTAATATTATTAAATTAAGTTTTCACGGCTTAAATTAAGCATAAATAAGCTATTATAAGCCTGCATGCTCACCTTAAAAGCTTTAAATTAGACCAAAAATTTAAAAATTCAAATTTAATCAAATAAAATTATTTAAAAAAATTACCAGTGTGGTTCGAATCACGACTGATTCAAAGTCGAGATTCGAAACACACTTATAAAATTTTTAAATTTTTTTCCAGTGTCGAGAATTTTTAAAGCGTAGTTTTCTAAAGACTATTGTCGGAACATTCTGTGCTACTTGCATGGTAATCGGCTATTCCTGATTCGATATGTAAGTGTCTTAGAAGATATGGACACAGCATTGTATCTGCATTCGTTGATGTTTCATATCTACATATACAATTTTTTATTCACGCTCGACACATCAATGCTGGTCAGATATTTTAGACAAGATGAAAACAACAAATGCAGGAAAAGATTTCGAACTGTTAAGAGAATTCAACTTTTGCTTGAATTTATCTGCAATAAAAACAAAAGTGCTCATTATTGTTTTTTAAGTCAATCAAGAAATTTGACCAGTTTGTTGTAATTAAACTTAAGTTCTTTGTTTTTTATCAAAAACTTAACAATTGGTCCCAGATGGAATATATAGTGGTAAATTTTGCGCTCCAGGTATCGATAACTCTCAGATGGTTTGAAAACAAGTCAAAAATTGACAATTGAAAAATCGAATGTTGCCTGGGGAGAAAAAACATGCCGAGCACAAATACAATACCTCTATTTTTTTTTAAATAGAAACAATTATTTAAGAAAAAATACTATCACAATTTGATACCAACATTTTATGTGAACGTTATGTGGCGTTTTTTTTTTTTGAATTTCAAATTCATATCGATGGATCTACAACTGTGTTAAGTATAAATTTAATACAACATCAAATACCATTTAGTATTTCTTGAGTTTCCTGAAAACTCACACGGCAATATAGTTCGTGTTTCGTCATCTACTTAGTCTTTTTATAAGTTTTCACTCGGCTGACGGTGGTACAATAGTGACCGCGACTCCGCTGTTATGCATCACATATTCCGACACACTTCCAAGGAATGTTCGCTTCAGTTTCCCGAGACCTCTGTTCCCCATGACAACTATCTCCGCCTTCTTGCTCTGGATAAACTCGACTAGTTGGGGTCCGGGGAAAGACGCGGTGGCGTTCAAGGACACAAACCCCCCTTGGCCATTGTGATGCAGCTTATGTTCCTGCAGTTTGAAATCGTAGTGGGCCTGCGTCTCCTCAATTTCCTTTGCGCGTCTGAAATTTACTTCTACTAGCTTTTCTTGCAGCTTTTTTTCCCCAAAAAACCGGATTAGGCATTATTCTGGCCTCAAAATTATGTACGTTTTTGAAATTTGCGACAAATTTAACAGTCTGAAACATGGAATATTACATGTATACGTATAAATCAATTGACACAATTCGGTTCCCATTTTTTTTCGTGGTTGCAGCTGTTTTCCAGCTTACAGTTTCGAATTAAAACGGTTTCAAATGTAAGCTTAAAACATATAGAAAAAAATGAGTCAAACAAGAATCACTCACGCGGTTAACTTCTGAGCCCAAGTGTCCTTGGGAAAGGACAGAGGGGCATCGGCACTCATCATCGGCAGAGACACCTGTTCTGCTATGTGGACAAGCCACACAACATCCACTCCAGGGCGCATCAAGTGTTTTATATACCTGAAAATAGGTTGCTTAGCAATGAATAGAGAAATTGTTAATCAGACTGGTCAATTAGCAGGCAAATACTACATTATCCAATAAGAAATGAGACAAGAAAAAACAAATGTACGCAAGAACTATTATACAGTGCTGCTTTAAATTATCGGCAAAACGAAAAAAAAAACCTAAAAAATTAAACGCGTTCTTCTATAACTGACTTGACGTTAGACAAAACACGATGGTTAAAAATCTTGCTTAAAATTATAGCAGAATTAATGTGGTGCAGTATATTCTGAAAAATCGGGCTCATTTTTTTCCCCAAAAAAGGTCCATTTTTGGCGTTTTCATCTACTCAAAAATCAAGCCAAGCTATTCGGTCAATTGTTAACAAAATTATAGAAAAGTGAGCTTAATATGTAACCCACTAAAACTTAACAATGGCCTTTTTTTTCGTAATGTTGTTTAAACATAATATTTTTGTTTGATACGGCCAAAAAACATCAATTTTATTATTTAAAACAACTGTTGTTTGCTTTAAAGTTTGTAAAATTTTTGAGCATCTGTATCAAATAAGTTTTTTAAAAAAAAATAATTACAAATTTGGGGTATGTTTTTTCATGCGTCATGCGTATGTTTTTTTTATCTCAATGTATTCGGTTATTATAACGTTTGTCTGTGTATTGACTAGTATGAAAATGGAATGTATAAAATAGAGACCGAACACCTTATAGAAAGATAGTGTAGCTTCGAGTTTCAAATTAAAGAATGGGTACTGTGCGAACATCCGATGTGTCGAACATTCAAATTACCAAAAAAAATGAAGTAAACATTTTTGAAACAGCTTTAAAATAGCAAAAACTTTAAAATTGCAATTATCAAAAAGGAGGGCAAAGCTTCAATTTCTACTGTTCACTTTAAAGATGCTCTATTAGCTAAGCCGATAGTGAACGTCGCAGTCGCGATAATGCGTCGCGATTTTGCTAACAGAAGGTAGGACTCTGCAAAAAAGTTGAAACCGGTTAACGGCATAAATCGGTGATGCGCATGTAGCGCGCCTACTACAGACTTCAAACGAGAATCGCATAAACTTAAATTTGAATCGGCTAATACAAACATCTCTTGTATTCGAATTTCTACAGTCTCACTTTTACCTAAATGTTTTATCACTTCAGATGTTTGGCAAGGCAGATATTTGACATATCGCATGTTTGCCCTATACCCAAAACATAACAAAATCAGACTAAAAAAACTTTTCAAACAACAATTTTCAATTGGTTTTGGTTTCTATTTTCTGTTATACGGTCCAAAACTACCAGAATGTTTAATGTGAGCTTCTGTTTCTATATAATGTCAGCCAGTCAGATTCAAGTATCACATACCAATTGTCAAAAACCAAAAAAAAAACAACTACAGCCGTATAACAGAGAAGACCTCTGGTTTTTATTCAAGTAATTGTCTATATTATTTAAACTCAAATATTTATTAAATGCTCATTAACTTTCGTTTTTACGCCTGCCTTTTTTTCGCTTTTGCCCTAACTGATCAAAGAAAATTACTTTGCAAGATCTTGCAATTTTTTTTACAAATAAAGGTTATGATTCAAAATCTTGATAAAAGAAAGATATTTTGCAAGAATCTTACAATATCCTATAAAATTTTCAGGTTGAAACTTTATCCTGAAAAATTATTTTGATCACCTACGGAGATTTTTGGGACTAAACTGAAATGTATTTCTAAGAGTAAGTTCGGAGAAAAATCTCGGTTTGACCAAGTTATACCAAAATCCAAATATAAGCATAAATTTCAATTTTTGTATTGTAAAAAATTTCTTATTATGGTTCTAATTCATGCATTTCAAATTTAAATTTCCAAAAACATAGTATTTGGAATAAGTTTTAAAATTAGAGAACCTTTTACTTATTAATGTCACAATTTTAGCCAAAACAGTCAATTAGCTTGAGATGATTTTTCATTAGTTCTTTAAAATTAAAATAACTTTTAAAAATTTTCACCCTAGGCTTTTTGTCAAAAATTTTATTTTATTCTTACTTCAGAATTCTCTTTTAAGATTTTGTATGCTTCTTTTTTTCTATAAACGCTAAAGGTTGCCCACAAAATATCATATCTTTAATGATCTTGCTCATTTAGCGTGAGATGTTTTGTATGTTTAGATCACATAGATACAATTAAAAGCTACGATTAAAAATTTTCTCTTTATGATTTCATTTATAAATTTCTCTTATTTTCTTTTGTCGATTTGCAAAATCATTCGATTATTACTCGCAATGCTTCCTTTTTCCACAAACGCTATGGATTGTCTCGCGCAAAAAAAAACTTTTTGCCCACAAAATATCATAACTTGTTTGGTCTTTCTAAAACAGATTGTCTTGAAAAAAGGTTATCATGCAAAAATCTGAAAGAGTTTAAGAATCTTGCCGCTTATAGAATCTTGCAAGGCTCTTGCTACATTTACTCGCGAAAGTTAGGTTGCTATCAAAAATTCTTATCAAAGTAGAAATCAGTTTTTTTAAAGTGGTTCAGTGTAGATTGGCTCAAAGCGGAAGTGAAAACAACAAAAATATGCCTTATGAGTGCTTCAGTCTTCAGTTTGTGGTCTCATTAGTGGTCAAATCATAATTTTATGAACATAATTGGATGCTTTACTTACCATTCGAAGGCTCGTTGGGAATGCTTGGACCCATCAACGGTGATCACAATTGTTCGGCTCTCCATTTTTCAATACGCACTGAACACAATATTAGAAATTTTAGACGTACACTTAGATTCCGAATGATTGATTGAAGTTTTGAGTTGAACAAAGTTAATATTCGGTTTGTTTCAATTTGACAGGTAAATTCTTTTCGACCGGGCCGGGAAATGTAAATTGAACCAACGAAGATATTGTCCCGCAGAATTGGTTCCCTTCAAAGATAAATTTTGTGGGACGGACGGTTCTTGTTGGTAGTGAAAACATTTAATGAATTTCTACTTTTCACGCTGGGTTTCCAATCGCATGAGAAGAATTGCTGATTCTGTTTTATTGCAAACATGATCTCATTACAATGAATATTTCATAATAATGCTTCTTTCTGTCAATTTGAAAAGCAAAATTGCCCAGAAAAAATCTTCAAATACCAATTTATATCAAATTTTATGTAGTTTGAAACAGAAGAATGATTAGAAATAAATGTATTAGAATAATGGTCCGAAAATCGCAGACTTTTTTTACTGATCCTTTTTATTAGGGCAAAAAAAGTTAGTTTCAAAGTAAAAAAAGTTAGCTTCAAAGTAAAACAGTTTAGTTTCACCTAATATAAAGAAAATCAATGCATTTTCAAAATTAATTGATTATAAAAGCAACACAGTGCTGCTTTAATTTATTCAGACAAAACAAACAAAACTGAATGTTTTTGTCATTTTTTTATAATCAAATTTGGTTGAGATAAGACAAAAAATGACGGGTAGAAAATTTTTATTATTAAAAGTATTATGAAAATTCAAAATTCAGGGCCCAACTGAAATTCAAAACAAAAATCTATCCCAAAATAGATTAATTTTGGCTTTTCTAGTCAATCAAATTTTTCGGTAGAAAAAAAAACTAAGTCAATCGACAACTAATTGCTGTCAATTGAACCTCTTAGACAGCCCAACAAATATCTAGAAAGAGATAAGGTTCTAATATTCTAATGAATGCAAATATTTTTGTTTGAAAACACAAAAATTTCAGGTCCAAATGAAATTCGAGTATCTGCTGAAAATCAATTTTTAACCAATTAGCGTAATTTTTTGGTTAAATCGGTTTCAAGAGTTTTTTGGTCTTGGTAAGAAGTTCACTTTAACATAATTTATTCATAAATTGAATTCGTACTATTAGCTTAATTCTAGGTTAAGTAAAAAAGCAAAAAAAACGTGTTTTCGAGTTTGTGTTTTCGAGTTTCGCAAAACAAATTTCACGAAAATATTTTTGGAAAACTTGAATCAACTGCTTTTGCCTACAATTTTTGCCTAAACTAAACTCAATTTTAGATAAACGCGTGTTGAAATTAAAATTTATTTGAGCTCTCCGGATATTTTGCATCAGGGAAGTAAAATTGATTTCATGTTCCAAATATTACATTCGTAATCAATTATAATGGTTTGTTTGTGTCTCGGAAAATCTATAATAATTTTTTTCCATCATACTTAGATGCAGTATTGTTCAGTTTGTCTTCATTGTCGGTTCATCTCATTTTGTGCGAACTAACAGGTGAGCTGATACAATAAAAGCATCCTCAAATTGGTGCAGGTATACGGGAAGAGTACGATAGACTTATAAATATTCTTTTATTGAAAATTCTACATTTACGATATACTTTTACTTTTACAAAAAAAAAACTTTTTTTTTGCTCTTAATTATTGTCAGACTTTTTCAGTTTTTATTTTTGTAGTTTATAAACTTTCAAGTGGAATGTTGAGTTCTGGTTTTGCCTATTTATTTCTGATCCATGTCAAATTCAATTTGCCCAGGACTTTATTTGCGACTAAAACAAATTGTTCAAATCATAGATTTTAAGGTGCGGGATGACTCTTAGGTCATTTTTTAAAACTTTAAAACCTTTAAAAACATTGCCGTCCTCTCAACTTGTGTATAACTAAAAAAAAATCAAACAAAATGAGTTAGGACCGATGTGGTTAACTCATAGAGTAATTTCGGATAGGGTACACCGTCTGCTCGTCACGCTATCTTATTTTCGGCCGGATAGATTCGTGCAACTTCTTAGTCTAATACCGATCCTAATCTTACTCTTATACTTTCCAGTCTCAGGGTGTTTAACTAGTCTCTGCTAGGCTCAATAGATCTAGGGTATACTGGTTTGTTGCGGCTGCTGAAGTTCTCTTGGAGAGACAACTAATTTCTAGGTTAAATTCAAATCTCTCTGGTGCTGAAATTACAAGTAATTTCAGCACTTACAAATAAGTGGGTTGTTAGTTAGATGGATCATGATTGGTTAATATTAAATACTTTACAGTGGTAAGATATCTAATTTATCCAATCATAAAACATAGTTTACATCAGGTTCCACCCATCCGGGTTTTACAGAGTTTTTTTAGAATTATCTTTCTGCAATTCAAAGGATGGATGATGAACGTTGGTATTTGGCGAACATCGTATTCTTGTCCGGTTCCTCTTGTTAGAGAAGTTCCAGGACGCTGGAGTTAGGGGCATCAATCGTTGTGTCTTCTTGTGACAACGACTGTGTTTCCCAATGAAATCAATCTGATTTCAAAATGGTTTGCTATGACGGGTTTTTCTGTATTATGTAGAGAACTCGTTTTGTGTTCAACCTCGTCTGGGAATGGCGTGGAGATTGTGTGTGGAAGGGATGCCTTGTAACTCGGATCTGTACGTATACTTGAACATCGAGGTGGTCATTGGTCTAGTTCAATGAAGTCCTTTTCTGCGAAGTCAAGTCGTAATCTAAATCCTTTGAGTTGTGATTGTGGACGGCATATCGGTTGTGGTTAGCCATTCTTGTTCGAGTGTAGTGGGGTCATTTTGCCTTTGGATGTTCGTCTTTGTTGTTGTGTGTTGATCTATATGCTGCAAGGTATGATTTACATTTTATAAAATTTTTATTAATTCGGTTTTTTAATTATGAATTTAGTTAGTTGTTTTCACAAAAGCATTTTGTTTTAGTTCGGTTATTTTGAATAGTTACTCACCCTTGAGTACCTCTTATTAAAAATAGAAGTGTGGTCACAAAGCGTGGATGTAGCGCGGTGGGTTAGGCCGGCTATAGAGCATGCTCAGGACGTCCTCTCTGGTGGGTTAGGCCAGGAGTGGGAGTATGGTTTCGTGCGGTTTCTTTGAGAGGTCCTGTTGTGATAACGTTTTATGTTGGGTTTATGTTGGTCTTTCTTATGTTTCTTTGGTTGTGTCCTTTTTTCAAAAATCAAATTGTTTTTGTTATGGGTTTGTCTTTCGACTTTTTTGTGTTTTATTATTTTTTTCTTAGACTTTTTAATAGTCTTCAAAAGAATAAATTATCCAGTTTTAAACTGGGTTAATCCGGTTTGGGTACCGTTGGTTTTCTTTTCTTAGTCATGCTGTTATTTTATGATTTGTGGTGTTTAGTAAGCTGCGTTGGTTAGTTTGGTTTAGTATATAATTCCTTTCCAACCGGGTTAAAGGAAAGTTTGAAACTTGTTATCGTGTGTTAGAGTTGTTGAGTATGAAAACATGAAACTTAAAATCATTATTAAACAATTCTTCGTGGGCGAGCTGTGCGAGTTTGGATAGAAGTCCTGTGCGAGTGAATGAAAATATCAAAAAGTTAGTACTGCATTTTCATTTTATCAATTTATTACATAGAATTTCAATCTTACTGCTAGTTTTGGGGGAAATTTAAAGTTATAAACTTTCATCATAATTAAATTTACTGCTTCATGGGGGAATAATTTATAGATTAATTTACTACATTTGGTATAAATTTTATCAGATAACTTGTGTAAAATGTGAATGAAGTTTAGAAAAATTTTAACAAGTTTATTTTTTATTTTTCTTTTCTGTTTTTTGCAGATGATCGTGGTATGAAGACTAAAAATGTAAAAGAAACATGAGTAAAGAATGGTTAGTAGTAATTTAAATTTATTAGTTAAGAATATTTTTAAATTATACTTACCTGTTAATCGTCAATAGATCTAGGGTATACTGGTTTGTTGCGGCTGCTGAAGTTCTCTTGGAGAGACAACTAATTTCTAAGTTAAATTCAAATCTCTCTGGTGCTGAAATTACAAGTAGTTTCAGCACTTACAAATAAGTGGGTTGTTAGTTAGATGGATCATGATTGGTTAATATTAAATACTATACAGTGGTAAAATATCTAATTTATCCAATCATAAAATATAGTTTAGATCAGGTTCCACCCATCCGGGTTTTACAGAGTTGTTTTTAGAATTATCTTTCTGCAATTCAAAGGATGGATGATGAACGTTGGTATTTGGCGAACATCGTATTCTTGTCCGGTTCCTCTTGTTAGAGAAGTTCCAGGACGCTGGAGTTAGGGGCATCAATCGTTGTGTCTTCTTGTGACAACGACTGTGTTTCCCAATGAAATCAGTCTGATTTCAAAATGGTTTGCTATGACGGGTTTTTCTGTATTATGTAGAGAACTTGTTTTGTGTTCATCCTCGTCTGGGAATGGCGTGGAGATTGTGTGTGGAAGGGATGCCTTGTAACTCGGATCTGTACGTATACTTGAACATCGAGGTGGTCATTGGTCTAGTTCAATGAAGTCCTTTTCTGCGAAGTCAAGTCGTAATCTAAATCCTTTGAGTTGTGATTGTGGACGGCATATCGGTTGTGGTTAGCCATTCTTGTTCGAGTGTAGTGGGGTCATTTTGTCTTTCGATGTTGGTCTTTGTTGTTGTGTGTTGATCTATATACTGCAAGGTATGATTTACATTTTATAAAATTTTTATTAGTTCGGTTTTTTAATTATGAATTTAGTTAGTTGTTTTCACAAAAGCATTTTGTTTTAGTTCGGTTATTTTGAAGAGTTACTCACCCTTGAGTACCTCTTATTAAAAATAGAAGTGTGGTCACAAAGCGTGGATGTAGCGCGGTGGGTTAGGCCGGCTATAGAGCATGCTCAGGACGTCCTCTCTGGTGGGTTAGGCCAGGAGTGGGAGTATGGTTTCGTGCGGTTTCTTTGAGAGGTCCTGTTATGTGATAACGTTTTATGTTGGGTTTATGTTGGTCTTTCT